AGACTAACGCCATGAGCTGGGAACGTGCGTGGAGCACCTGAGCCGCCTCCCCTCCCCTTCCCTCCCTCCCCTCGCCAACGCATACCCGACAGGCACAAGCCCTTCATGTGGGCGCATATACGTACATTGTGGAAACGCACAGGTGCGAAACAGCGGACCCCACAACGGGCTGGCGTGTAAGCCTTACTACAGCTGAGAACGGAGTGACAAGGTTATTAAGTACAGGGATGACATGCCAACACATTCAGACCAGAATCAAGACTACCACCGTGCAATTTAGGCACATGCTATGTTTGCATGTAAGCTTTTACTGGTTAACAGTAATTGGAATCTCTAAAATACAAGTAAATCGGGAGGAATGAATCAAATGTTCTTTTCGGAAGAATTTACCGTGTCGAAAACGCTACTCTACACCAATGAAAACAGCGGTTTTGGCTTCCCTTTCAGCTGCCCGCTTTTGCGAGCCGGTGTCATGCGGTACAGTCTAACTACAGGCGTCTACCACTAGCGACATCTATGAGCTGAAATGCAAATGAATGGGGCTGAAGGCGCGACTGCTCAACACGCTCGGACCCGAGCACGGTTTTCGATAAGCCCAGTTTTTTACTTCATCAATCAACCACCAGCTCTAAGGACAGCAGTGTGCGAAGCTATGCACCTGACCTCGTCACCTGCCAGCTGACAGCCGTCTGTCCCCATCCCACCGTTAATGGATTCCCCAAACCGCCGTGACGCTGGCCGCAGCAGCCGTAATGCCGGCGCCGCACAGCCTTTGAAACCGAACCCGGAAGCGTGCACGCAGCCCAGTTGGCGGCACGCCAGCGGCGGACGCGACGACGACGCACGGCGCCGGCGGCGCTCCGGCCCGTTCGACGACCCACTGCCGGAGACGGCCAATAGATGGCAGGAGTGGCGCCACGCGCCCGACCGCCCGCTACTCCCACTCAGCCGAGCGGTCCACCCGCTGTTACCGGGCTGGTGGGAGGGATGGAGAGGGAGGGGAACATCTGGTACGAAAAAACGGTCCGCTAGTGGCTCGTGCGATAGCTCAGTGTCGCTAAATTAATTACCAGGAGTTAAGGAAGCGATTGGTATACGAACGGTAGACGAATTGGTAAATTTCTTCCCGAAATAAAATGTGTAAATCAGGTTAGACCCCAAATGATCGTAAAAATGCCACAGGATGTAATAAAAACGCCTCCCTAATTGATCATTTGCTTCGACGACCCCTAGGGCCAGTCGAGAACAGGGAATCCAGAAATGGAAGCACCTCCACTTGAACAGGACATTGACCCTGGCAGTGGACAAAGTTTCCTTTTCATAAGACACGCTAGCCAAATGTGTGCGCTTCCATTTTTTCGACCATGCTTGAAGGGATTCATGATTTTATATGATACGTTTCATTGATTATATGTGTGAACTGTGAAGGCCCTGATCAGTCTTTTCCCAATATACGGCACTGGAGCCTGAAAAAGTGAAGAGTGAAGAGAGCCATCATGGGCCCATCAGCGCACGTCAGATCCGACGCCCCCCCCCCCCCCCCAATCACGTCACGTCACAGTCAGTGGAGCGTGCGGCGCCAGTCGCAGCCAATCGCGGCACAACGTGACATGATGAGCCCAGATAACACCCAACGCTGTTGTAACAAGATAGCACCTGGCCATAACGCGCCCAACAAGGCCGCACTGGCAGATCGCGGTTCAACAACTCCGCCGGTATTCCGTTTGGCCTCCTCTTTTCGCGAGCATCGCATGAGGTCGATGACCGGAGGGCTTTGAGCGTCAGCAACTGAACCACGAGCTTGCGATTAACAATAGGTACCGAAAACTGCCGACCGATCAGCAGCCCCTGCTGCAAGTCTAGTCGCGTGCCCGGCGACCGGCCAGTGGGTGGTGGACCCACGCCACTCTGAGTCGACACCGACACACCAGCTGACTCAACATAAACAGCCTCGAAGTAGGTCGCCGGCCGCGGGACGGAGAACGGCCGCGCCGCTGGCCGTCGAGTGGTCGGTGGCCGCGGAAAGAAGAGGCCGAATAAATGGCCAGCTAATGTACGGGGTACACAGAGAGGAGGGCCCACGCGCCGAGGAGCCCCGGGGAGGGGTGTAGACGCCAGAGCCACCAGAGGCAAAGGAAGGGCCGTTCACGGGGTCCGAAGGTAAGAGGTCGATGGTCCGGAGAAGATGCACGATAGACGACGATGATGTCAAGGATCGAGCGTGACGAAGAGTAGGACGATGCATCTATGATTGCAGAGGCTAGCTGTGATTCTGCACGCCCCATACATGTATAGGATTGCTCCATGGCAAACAAATTGCATGTCTTGTGCCCTGTAGCGCGGCCCAGTTTCACCACGTCCAACTACAACCCTCGTCAATCCAGTCAGTTCATAAGCGCCAGCATCAAACGAGCGACTAGGAGAGCAACCATCTCCCAGCCTGTCCATGGCGTTACGCAATGGTCAGCGCAACTCTGGGCTCCATACGGGTTTGTTGTTGGTCGCCGACGGCAGGTAGCCATATCGTGCAGTTCACGTTGGTCTCTCTCTCTCTCTCTCTCTCTCTCTCTCTCTCTCTCTCTCTCTCTCTCTCTCTCTCTCTCTCTCTCTCTCTCTCTCTCTCTCTCTCTCTCTCTCTCTCTCTCTCTCTCTCTCCCTCTCTCTCTCTCTCTCTGTCGCTCTCTCCTTCGCTCTCTCCTTTTGGATGTTCTCTCTTTCCCCCATATATAGATACTCTCCAATCTCAATCAAATTACACAACATTTTCTTTCCTCTCCTCCCATACTCCCTCGCACCAACTCTCCTCTCTTTTCCTCTCCTTTTCCTCCTCTTCTCAAACTTCTCTCATCTAGCCTCCCCTTCCCTCATCTCCCGCAGGCTCCTCCTCTCCTCTGCCCTCTCAGTAGGTGTGGCCACGATCGGCCACCCCCGCCGCGGCGTCCATGGCGTGCTGTTGCATCACGCGCCACCACCACCGGGCGTTTCGCCACCGTCGGCCGTCGTGACCGGGCAGGGCTGCCACGGCGCCGTTCATCTCAGCACAGCCCGATGGGAGAGGCGTAATCGCCGATGCCGCTGATAATATATTGCAAATAGAAATCGCGGCGCGGCCCAGAGAGACAGAGTCGTGAGGGAGTGTGTGTTGCTGGGGATGGAGCTGTGCCGATGGCGGTTTCATGACCCGCTCGAGATGGGCGGATTGCTGGTGGTCGGTGGATAGAGGAGGGTAGAAACAGGTCATGGTCTCCGGCTAATTGACAAGAAATTTGATGAGATAGGTTATGTTGCATCGTTTAGCATTTGACCTTTTGTAAGCGAGCTCAGCAAAATAGCCGAGAGGCTAAGCTACATGATATACAGATCAACAATGGATGTATCCAATCCCAGGCCTTCGGCAGGTTATTGTGCAAGGTGCAAGTAATGTTTGATGGAACTCTCTGGAGTACCTGGCTATTACCAACAATGTTGTATAGGAGCCAGTCTTAAGAACAGGGTTTCTTCAACGATGCAGCGCATTTTTATTGCGTACATTCTAATTGATAACAATGAAAATTAATGAATGCCATTGAAATGACAATTGACGAAATCAAGATCATTAAAAATGATTGAAACATCACAATTCATGTTGAAAAGAATCTTCCCGGTGTGAAACACTACCATCGCAGGGAAAAAAGAACAAAGAACCTTCAACAACCCGCCGTGGCAAGTACTTTTGCAACACCTGGGCCGCTTCAATTTCAAGAATATCGTTGGCCAAGTAGTTAGATCCTGCTGTGCTGTGGGCGTTTGCGTAAGTGGCCCGTTGCAGACCGGCCAGACAGCCGTGTAACAATCGTGACTCCTGTAATATGGCCGTCGGCGGCGGCTTGTAAACCGCCCCCTCGCACCTTCAGCCGACGAGGCGCCGTTTGAGCGTGGAGCCGGTGCGAATCTACGCAGGAAGCCTCCCAGAGACTCCACACTCGGCCATACACACCGGTGTCAGCGCCGCTGGGAGAGGGTCGAGCGGCGGCCGGCGGCCGGAGTCGCGAGTCGGGCTCGGCGCCCGGGCCGACCGGCGAGCCGGCCGGCCGGCCTTGGGTGTTGAAAGTGGCGGTCGGTCCTCTCTCCGGCGGGTTACGACACTGCGGGATGACGAGGAGTCGCGCCGCCGAGTCGAGTCGACGGCGAGTCGACGTCGAGTCGTGAGCGAGGTGGTGGCTATAGACAGTAGCAGCGGCGGCGGCGGCGGCTCGCGAGGGCGCCTCAGAAGGGCGTGGCGATGCCCTTAGGGCTCGACAGACACTTTCGCTAAACGCCCGCCGCTAGATACCGTGCAAATGGGTAGATTGGTAGCTAGAGGCCGCCCGAAACCAGAGCCTCTCTAATGACGGCGATGCTATTTTTGTCAAAAGCATCGCGTGGGCAGTTTAAAATTTAGCATAACCTGCACCAACACTAATCGCTGGCTGTATCTAAAAACGTGAGCGCTGTCTCAGGCTTTGCATGGAAACCGATCCCCCATTACTCAATACTCATGACGTCGCTGAGCGCGCCTCAATGACGGCCGCCATAAGCACTACTCGGCCGGCGCGAAACGACCCACGTTTCCCAAGCCGGCCAGTAATGACTGCACTTAGACGATCTGGCGTGGCAGCCTCCCAGCCGACGCCGCGTTACCTTGACTGCCAGCCTTGCAATGGCATAATCAACTCCTTTCTAAGCTCGGGCGCCCCCTCCCCCGCAGCCCAGCCCTCCCACCCACTACACTGATTCACTGCAGCAGCTGACATGGAACGTACTCACCGATGACGAATAGCTCGGAGATGCTGGGGCGGCCCACACCGCCTCCGGCGCACGCATGACCCGGGTCACTACTCCGGGAGGCACCTCCGGGTCATTGCACACAGCACCTCCGGAAACTCCGGAAACTCCAGTCCGCCCGGCTCGTCTCCGGCGCGACTCGGAGTCTCTGAGTCACCGCCGAGTCAGCCGAGTCGCCTCCGCACACACACACTTACCGTCCCGTGACATGCCGAGAGCGAGACATTTCTGTAGTCGGCAGTACTGGCAGCGGTTGCGGTTGATCCGGTCCACGACACAGTTCTTCTGTCGCGGACACTGGTAGTTGACGATGCCCGACTGCGACCGGCGGAAGAAGCCCTTGCAGCCCTCGCACGTGATGATGCCATAGTGCACGCCGGACGATTTGTCCCCGCACACTTTGCATGGGATGATCTCGATCTGGGCTGAAAGCGACAGGGAGAAAAGTGTTAGCGATAGTAAATACAGATTATTTCTGGCTGACTGCGTACTTTGAAAACGTAGATGCCGCAATAATTTGATATTTAAGTAGCATTTTAACGTATATCACGGATTTTTTTTTTAAAGTTATCATGAGCTGGCAGTTATACTTATCAAATATCTTAACAAATGAAAAGAGTTGTGCAAACTGATGATCGATTCATTTGATTTTTGATAGCGGCGCATTACACAATAGCCCATTCATCAACCAAATCATTGATTAGGATGCATAAAGAAGCGCAAAAAGAGAAAGTCGATATGTGTAGCTCGTGTATTCAAGGCTGAATATTTAGAAACATGGCTATTCTGACCTGGGCGCTCGTCATAAAATGATGCTGGCGAGTGTGGAAAAGCAACTGTTGCAATGTCATGAAGAACACTTCTCCTATAGTGCTGGCCGTGAAGAAGGTTGCCTTTAATTGGAATGACTAATTTATGTTGTTCATTACGAATTATTGCCCAATTTCGGCGCCGTCGGCATGGTGTTGGGCAATTTTAGGGGCTCTCGGCCGGTATTCATCATACGGGCACAATGAAAGTGTGTCATCGACTCCACGCCGTGGACTAGCTGGCCCGTGTGCACGGCCCGGTCGTGACGGACCAATCACGGACTGGCAGAGAGCGGACATCAAAGGTGCCGCCTCCACCCCTCCCCCACCCCCACCCACGCGCGGCCACTCCCACCTCATGAGCGGCCGGTGGGGGTGGTGTTAGTAAAGGGCCAGTTGCACCCAATCATGAGTTGCAATCTGCCACTGCATAGACGACGCCTGCAGTTAGTTATTCTACTAGGCTGACTAGCAACGTAGGCGACGCAGACGCACATTTTTAATAAATGGAACACGCAGCAGGCAGCAGTTAACGTCAGGCCCACGTAGAGGACTACAGAGTCGGTAGCTAGTTCTATCATTGGATATATGCAAATGCAACTGTTGTCACAAATGTACTGAATTGTTTACGGCATTGTCTGCGTGCCTAATGGTTTTCAAATTGGTATGTTTCAAAGACCGAGGGACGTATTATTTTCTATCAAACCTTAAAAAGAGATTCGCAGCACCTGTCTGTTATTCTTGCCATTTCAGCAAGCGTCTTGTCAGTGGTCAGCTCCCGGTGTCCCACGCTCAGATTACAGCGACACCACGCGACTGGTCGACCTCGGATCAACCACCATCGCCGTGATTTTTCTGTGCTCGGCCACAGGGCTTGTCCATCGTCAAAGCCACAACAGACTGAAATAAAATGTTGTGCGTCTGCTCAAGCCCCAAGCAGAGCTGAGGGCTGAGTGGGACGGGAGGAGGGGGCAGGGAGGGGTGCAGAGGGGAACCCGTGCACGTGCCGCCTGCTGACACGCCCCGCTTATCTCTCCCCCTCCCTGCCGCCTACCACTGCATCCGCTCTGATCCTGTATTACCCTACTGCGGTCGATGAGGCAGAGAATAACATCGCCGAACGCTGTAGCAGTTCCGACCTCACATACGAGTATACCTACCTACTGACATATAGACCGATCTGTACAGAATAAGTATCAAATCGGCTCCTTGGTGTTGTAAGTACTAGCAAGTTGACAGTCAGCATGACTAATCCCAATGTGAGTGTTGAGGCAGGCATGTTGCGTTGCACGCATTACGCACTTGTCATCACATAACCTCCCTTCGCGCCTCGCCCGAAGCAGCGGTTCATCGTTACCGGTAACTCTTCCAACCACACATCCCTCACACCCATCATAACGCACTCGCACCCTCCCGCATAGTGCCAGGAAACACCCCTCCCGCCCTGCCGCCCCGCCCATCCTGATTGCGTTCGGAGGGGCGGGGCGAGGCGGGGAGGGGGCGGGGAGGGGCGGGAGAGCAATCATGGCGGGTGTGCGTAGCGCGCGCTGCCGCGCTGATGGCGCCAACGCCGCTGATGAGGCGGCGCTGACGGTGGATCACGCGCTGACGGTGGATCACAGGATCAGTGAGGATCAGACAGAGACGCGATAGAGGAGAAAGGTTTGGCGGCTGGGGTTAGGGTATGTTGGGAGACGAAGGGTTTTTAGCATATGCACTCACTATCGCTATTGAACGTCGAATGCCATCGTCAGCGAGACGCTTTCTTATAAGGTTTACTGTTGATTGCTTACACAACAAAGGACGGAATCCCATCTTAAATGTGTCATCCATAGAGGCTGAGAAAAACAGCTTATCGAAATAGCCCTCGCGGCGGTCACATATTTCGCAATCATCAAACACTGTCATGACATGTATGACAAACGCGCGGAGCCTGCTGCCTGCACCAATGACGGATAGATCTGTCATCTCGGCAGTCGGATCCGCCATCTCAGCGGTCAGATCCGTCATCCCATTCCCAGCGGTGGGATCCGTCATCCCAGCGCGGCGGTGGGGTTCTTAGCACCGTTCATACACGTTGCAACAGGCGCAAAAAGTGCGTGCCGGGGCCTCGGCGGCAGTTTGTCCGTCTTCGGCGACACCCTCTTCGCCTCCCGACACCAGTTGCCACAGACAGAGACGTTTTTACTGGGCTGACGCAGTGGAACTAAACGCAGCTCGGCACACGGGATGAGAGAACCGCTTGTCAGACTGCTCAGCTCTTGGGAGCTTGGGGCTTGTCCTGCCTTTGCAATCGACCGCGACGAACCAAAATTTTTCAGAGGATGGGAGATGACGGTCATGATCAGAGATCACAAGCAATAATGATCGCCAGTTTACCCGAGCAGCTGCACTGGAGAGGATGAAAGAGGACATGACGTCTCGGCGGTCAGTTCAAGTGGGTGGGAGCGGGACATGAGCAGCCCGGTTCCATCGAAGGCCACGGCTACAGGACTGTTGCGCAATGCTACGCGGTGTTGCAAACCGAGCCTTCCTGGGAATACTATGAATGGAATTCTTAAGTTAACATATTGACGTAATTTTACATCGTAAACCATGGTCAGAAATTCGTGAAATGCTCGAAACTATCCGTCGAAACAGCCTCATTGTAAAGCAGAACTTCCAACAGAATGTCGAAGTCAAGCATAGTTGGCTAGCCCTCTCAAGTCCCTTCCCAATCCAACCAACCCTACCCATCCAAAACGGCACCCCGCCCTCCCCTCTGACCCGGGACACCCCCAGGTCAGACCAGCCCGCCCGGTCCCCTAAACGGGGGCAGCGGGGGCGCGCGGGGGCAGCCCGCTCGGCCGGCCGACGCCCGGCCCGTTGCCGAGCCGTGGTGACCTTGAGTCGGCTGGCGGCCCGGCGGCGACCTTGAAATCCATTGACCCCCCCCCCCCCCCGGGGGCCGGCCGTAGTAGCGGCGTAGTAAGACCGGCCTCGGTGGCGCGCGCCGATTCAGGCCGGCAGGGTGAACGACCGGTGTGCGGGGCGGGGCGGAGGGGGCCGGACGGAGACGGAAGGGGGCGATACCGGTGGGCATGGAAAGGGCAACGGAAGGAAGGAGACCGATGAAACACTTCCACTATCGAAAGGGAAACAGGTATGGTGCAATGCGGATATAGGGGCAAGGTCGTTGTCTCCGTCTTATTCCTAAGCACATTACACTATCTAAATGAGAGATTTCATATAGCAATGCTCTTACGTTTGGGGAGACTTATAATCGCACCCATACCTAAACTAGCTTTATCGAACTTCACAAACCAAGTGCCCACATTTCCGTCGGGTGTCCCTATCGATATCGATAGGCTCGCATGTGCAATTGATTGTGGGTTATCGATAAGCCCCTCGCACACCGAGCGGTGCCTTTATATCAGTGCGTCACCGCTTGGCAACTGCCCTGCTGCTCCTACCAGCCGGCCTGGCGTGCCCGCGGTGGGGTTCAACAGCCGCCCCCGCCCCCGCCGCGGCCGCCCCCGCCCCGGGCCGATATCGATGCACGCGCAGCGCGTTCCGGCACACCCGTGCGGCACCCGCCCCCGAAAGCGGGCTGGCACGGGGCAGGGGTTGTCGCCCGGGCTCACTTCCGACAGGAGTGCAACTGCAGGACCCGTGCAACACGTGTCACGGCGGGCGACAGAGCGACAGACGTGGGGTCCGATAAATGGACGAGGATCAGGCACTGATGGGACAGGACTTGCGTAAAAAGGATCTGAGTTGGGACTTGACGCAAATTGATCAGGAGCTGCTGCATATTGAGGCACCAAATTCAAAACCCGACAGATCCGGCTCTGCCGCTTGAGAACCAAAAGACAAAAGTTCGTCGGGGCAAGCTCTCGGATAATTTTTTGCTGATTGATCGTGGCCGTGGGGATATAACCTCACAAACCACCAGATGTTGCCTTATTTAGCGCCCCCCCCCCATCCCCGAGCCACGCTGCATTCCACAACATATACACGACTATACACACGCACTCCCGCTCCATACGCACGCACAGTTTCTGAAAAGCATGCCGTCGCTGGCCAAGCGAGCCGCGAAGGGATCACAATAGCGGCGCGCGGACGGCTATTGCGACGCGCGGGCGGCCATTGCGGCGCGGCGGTCCCCAGCGATCCGCCGGTGGATGCCAGGTTCCGCGTTCCCGGTTCGTACACAGGGGAGACTGAGGACCCAGGAAGGCAGGTTGGCCCGGGTAGGCACCCCAGCAGCTCGAACAAAGGCCCCGTGCGGGTGGGACGGTGGGACAGCTGGTTTTTTATCGACGGGCGCTCCGCCGCCTATCGAAGGACGGTGGAGGGCGGTGCAGATGTGCTGACAAAAACCCGGGCCGGATTATGCTTTAGGGAGGGAAGGGAGGCCATATAATATAGGAGTTGAAAGAAAAAAAGCAGCCTTAGTTCAAGACACTAGGATAAGAAAGTGCTAGACACAATGTTCAACAACCGGTTACAAATGTTAACGATTAGCAGTTCTTCGTAGCAGTTCTTCGCCAGCATTAAATGCAACATTTTAGCTTCTTTGACGAAAATAATAGCAGGCTTTTAAATATCTTCGCAAGACTCTACTACTTAACATT